CCCCCCTTAAACCCCAAACCCTAGACTCCCACACACCACCCCCCTCAGCGGCAGCTGCAGTAGAGGGAGACTAGGGAGGAGGAGGAGTAGGTAGAGTAACGCACAACCGACACCCCCACAGCCGCCACCCCCACACTCCCCACCCCCAAACCCTAAAACGGGCGAAAGGGAGAAGGAGCTTGGGGGACGGCGAGGGGGAAGGCGCGCGACCCCCAGGGCGCCACCTCTGGGCAGCGGGGGCCGCGCGCGGCTCCCCAGGGCGACGGGGCAGCGGGGGGCCGCGCGCGGCTCCCTAAGGCGTCGCGACGAGGCAGCGGGGGCCGCGCGCAGCTCCCCACGGCGTCGCGACGAGGTAGCGGGGGGCCGCGCGCGGCTCCCCAAGGTGTCGCGACGAGACGTCGGGGGCGACGCGCGGGGCTGCGGGGCGACGCGGGGGGTCGACGGCGACGAGGGGAGGGCGCTTCGACGGTGGGAAACCGCCGCGCGCCTCGGGGCGCACGGCGTGCAGAAAACCGCCGAAACCCTAGAAAAAATTCGCCGCGCGCTCCGCGCGCGGCAGGAAGAAGTCGTCGCGCGCCCGAGGCGCCCGGCAGGAAGTACAGCAGCGGAAGCATTAGGTGGTGGGCCCACCCACAGGATCGACCCAGGAGGGTCGACCTGCTCTGATAGCATGTCGAGAAAATTAGGCAAAAAGAGAGGGTTGAACTAGCAAGAATGGGGATACAAATAGCAAACCCTAGAAGGGTTGTACTCGCTACAGAGCACCCCACTGCAGGCTAGACAAATATAACATTCTGACAGGAGGAGCAGGGGACGGCGCACACACACGGCACCCCCAGAGCTGCCACCCCCACACTCCGCACCCCAAAACCCTAAAAACGGGCGGAACGGGGGAAGGAGCGCGGGGGACGGCGAGGGGGACGGCGCTCGGCCCCCAGAACGCGACCACGGGGCAGAGAGGGGCCGCGCGCGGCTCCCCAGGGCGGCGCGACGGGAAATCGGGGCCGCGGGGGGGTCGCGCGCGGCTCCCCAGGGCGGCACGACGGGAAATCGGGGCCGCGGGGGGTCGCGCGCGGCTCCCCAGGGCGGCACGACGGGAAATCGGGGCCGCGGGGGGTCGCGCGCGGCTCCCCAGGGCGGCACGACGGGAAAACGGGGCCGCGGGGGGTCGCGTGCGGCTCCCCAGGGCGACGGGATCGCGGGGCCGCGGGCGACGGGACCGGAGGGCCGCGGGCGACGGGATCGGGGGGCCGCGGGCGTCCCCCACGGTAGGAAACCGCCGTGCGCCTCGGTGCGCACGGCGGGGAGAAAACCGCCGCACGCCCCGAGCGCGCGGCGGGATGAAAATGTGAAGGTCGCGCGCCACGGGGCGCGCGACACTGAGTAGGGCAGCGGAAGCAGCAGTGGGGCCCACAGGCCAGGAGCGTGAACGCTCTGTTACCATGTCAAAAGAGTAAGCATAAGCAGGAGCCATAGCTAGGAGAACCCTAGCTAGGCAAGAGAAAGTTTAGGCAAAGAGGAGGTTCACTAGCAGCAATGAGGATACATATAGCAAACCCTAGATGGGTTGTACTCGCTATAGAGCACCCCACTACAGGCTAGAGAATAACATTCTGACAAGTTCGTAATTTCCATGCGCACCAATGCATAACACAATCATCCGTCACTGGCCATGAATCTCTTGTTAGAATGAATCCAGTTACATGTCTCTGCCGCTTTAAGCCGTCGGACTTCAAAACCAATGGTAGGATCTGCACATTTTTCATAATCGTTCACTTCTTGAGACGTGTCTCTACTACATGATTGTGTTCGATGCTAAGCCATTTACGAGTCTCTATTAACAGAGCGTTCTGGATCCAACACACGCATTTGCTAAGATTCTTAGATACGGATGTACGACATTGTGTTTTTCAAAATCGAGGGTCTAACCACCATACAAGTTGCTCATGGTAATTACCTTATTCGCATCATGATACTGCAGTGAAGTTATTTTTCCAACAATCGTCAAATCAGTATTTCGCCTTTCTTTAGGCATGGTTGCTACTGTAGTGTTAAAGACACTATTAAGAGAGGTAAGGCGTGGAGCTATGTTAACTCGAACTGGCTTTGAGTTGAGCTTCTGGATGAAGCTCTGGATTCAATTTTATTTGCTTAAGTGTATCCCGTAGGATTGATGAGCATTCAAATTGTGATAGGATGAGGGGAATATTTCATCGTGCAAAAATGCACACAAAGTTGTGGCCGGTAAGCATTGCCTTGTAATGTAGGTGACGAGCAAACCAATGCGGACCTGCCAAATTGAAATAGTACCCTCCCCCCCCATCCTCACCTCCCCAAGTCACGATAAGGGGGGCTGTAAAATTGGTGGTACATAATCTGGCGAGGGCTAGGTGTATAATAGGGACAAAACTTCATGGAAACTTCTAACTGATATAGTCGCGTTTTAGGGACCGTAGGGTACCTGCTCCGTTAAGTCTGATACCCTGTATACAAATAAAGGTACTCTAACGCATTGACAACTCCGGATCGCTCGAGACGCTACCGCAAAATTACATGCGTGAATTGACCCCCAAATCAAGTTCAGCTGAAGCTCGTGTGTAACCAGGGGATTGCTCAAACTCTCTCCAACCCACTCCAACTAGGAAGGTTGAAATTGCGTTGAAATTTGTAAGCATTCAAATTTGTCTCAGAAACCCACCATTTCCCACGTCTTGTATTTCTCGCTAGGGAGTTTCAACCCTCCCGGCAGCATTCCGTGCATAATAGCATGCCTACCCCTATTAGTACCATGGCCCCAGTTTGCAAAGAAAGGCGTTTTGTGAGTTCCGAGTAAAAGAAAAGAAACATGCCACAGAAACAACCCGCGTTATGGTGCCTTTTAAGTTTAAGAAACAACCACGCTGTATTATAGTCTCAAATATCCTGAAAGACTTGTCCAAATGGACCGCTCCATTTTTGTTGCCGCCATCTCGAAAAGTAAGTTTCAATGAAGACAAAGTCCATGTGCTTGAGGCCGTGTAGCAAGCTTGGGCAGTGAGGCACACTGCTGCAAAATTATCAATCATGTGTCATGTTCTTCTTAAAAAATCAGAGGCATTTGCCTTTATGCATTTTTTCTAGCGACTTTGTGGTTTTTCGGGAATGGCTTTGCCAAGTGCTTGCACGTTTGGGGATGTCTTCCTACGAGAGGAAAGGTGGGGCAAATGATGCTAATGCTGAATCCATTGGCCTCGCCAGAAATACCATTCAAAAAATTCTTATGTTTTCTGCTTCGAAGTCACGGATGTTTGTCAACATGGACGAAACAAAGTTATTCTCGGTCAACAGCCATGGCGCACGTATGTGAGCGTTTTACCATTGCATTGTGTTGCAACACCGATGGCACGGACTTGATGAAACCAATTGTGGTCAGAAAGACATTGTTTCCAACCTCATTTCAGAATGACTTTTATGTGGATGACTATACATGGTACCATACGAATAGGTTTGTGCTGAGGGGTAAGTAAATATTTCTTGATCCAAATACATGTAATGCGTGTACGTACATTTGACATCGAATCGTTCAACTATACTCTAAATTGTTTTGTTCCCATGAACAAATCTTCATCCAATTTGTGGATGCAATAGACAGCGACACGCAGTTTGCGGACCGCAAGATCACAATGCACAATGCAAGCTCACAAAATGTGAACGATCTTGAGAGAACACGTGAGTTTTGGCGGGACTGCATCAAGATTGTCGAGCTTCCCAATGTGAGGGTGAGCTATCTAACCCCCATTTGCACGTCACACGTCCAGCACTTGGATTAAGGCGTCATCGCAATAGTGAAGTTACGATATTTGAAATTTTGAGTCATATGGATAATTGATGAGTTTCAACGTACACATGATCAAGTGTCCGGTAAGACAATTCAGCCGGATTGGAAAATAGTCATTACGTGGATATGCACAGTGTGGAACACAATTAGGAGGTGTTGGCGACATTGGGGTGTGCTATTGTACGATTGGAGGGGTGGGGTTTGGAGCAGAATTTCAAGGCCCTTCAAAGGATCCTAAACTGACAAACATTAGCACGTTGGCAAATTTTGTTGAAGGAACTTAAGTTTGTATTATAATTTCATATTCTATACAACTTACATAGGTTAGAATTAGATGCATAGCAATCTTATAAATTGAGGGGTTGTTTTGCGTACCCTCCGACCACATTCTGTGGTTGGTGGAGATTGGTCCTTAGCTTAACCCTAAACCCCAACTGACACAAATTTGTGGTCGCTTGGGTCTCAAACAAGCTCACCCAATTGCCAACGTATTGGCCAATATGGTAAGCTTCCCTCTTATCAATTTCTTGCTCATTGCTTGTATTAAAGAGCTTCTTGACTCATTAGTTCATGTATCAATTCTCTCTTCTAACATTGTATCACGAGCTAATGGCTTGCGTCATCATCCCTCGGTCCTCGGTTCTACTCCTCCCGAGCCCAGATCTACTCCTCCCCTGCTCACATTTGTATGTTTCGTGACCAGATCTGCAATTTGCGCGTCCAGATCTCCACTCGCGCGTCCACATCTGTACTCCGCGCACCCGCGCGCATCCAGGTCTGCGCTCCGCACATCCAAATCTGCATTCTGCACGCACAGATCTGCATACCGCTCAACCAGAACTGCACCTCCCGTGACCATATCTGCACTTTCCATGCCTTTATCTACTCCTTTTACGCCTATATCATCATTCCGCACTCAGATCTACACATTTCGATCCCAGACCTACACGCTGCGCACATTTTCCGCGGACTTTTCCATCGCTTGCGTTCGTCACGTGCCTCCCAGTCGCAAGAATTTGCCGCATGGCTGCCCTCCTCGTCACTCCCCTGCAACATTGCCCTCCTCTCCCCCCCCCTCCCATCTCCACCTTTCCCCCTCCTTTTCTCCTATTGTACCCACAGCAGCAACATCAGCAGCATCTTCAGCGACACAAACACCAACACCCTTCCCCTTGCCTGCCCCTTAATATCGCCCTCCTCCTCCTCCTCCTCCTCCTCCTCCTCCTCCTCCTCCTCCTCCTCCTCCTCCTCCTCCTCCTCCTCCTCCTCCTCCTCCTCCCATCCTACCCGCAGCAGCACCAGCAGTGGCACCAGCAGTAGGACTAGCAACGACACCAGTAGCAGGACCAACAGTGGCACCAGCAGTAGGACCAACAGCGGCACCAACAGCAAGGTCAGCAGCAGCAATAACAGCAGCACAAGCAGCAGTACCTTCGCATCATCCTCATCCAGCCTTTGTTTCCACCCACCCTCGCCTCTGTGGCATCGTTGTGTAATTCTTCCGTTGACCTTGCCATTGTCGACGCACTCAAGTTGCTTCCCAACAGCACTATTGCTAATTGGCACTCTCACGCTTACTCGGTTGAGACGCTCCTCTCCTCTGTTGTGATCAACGACTACAACTTTTGCTCGGTTGTCTTCTAGAAATGCTCGGTTGTCTACAAGTTACGCGTACTCTGTTGCTCCTCTCCGCTTATTTTAGCCCGTGGCCCGCATCGATCCCTCTGGACCTGCCTCCGCCCACCGTGGCGCCGAGCCCTCTCCCCCTGATGATCCTCCCACCTTCGCGCCGAATGTCAACGACCAGTAGAGCTCCGGGACCACCATCCGCACCTATCACACCAATCTCCCATGAATACATGCGCCAGCAATTGCGTTACGAAGACGACAAGCACATCTATAACAACGCCGCTATCAGCTACTGTACGTATTAGGAGGACATTGACACCTACACTGCAGACCTTGCCGACTACAAAATGAAATTCACTATCTGGCAAGTTGCTGGTCGGCAAGCACTTGCCATTCTTCTCGCCACCATCCCCTTCTCCCTCAAACGCGAGCTCTCACCTACCTCCTCCTTTCACCTGTGGCGACTGCTGGTTGAATTTTCCTATCGGCAAGACTACGTCATTTCAAGGAATTTGGAAAATTTCCCAAGAATTCTAGTTCTGGCGCGGGTGCGTTCACTCGACGTATCTTAGACCTTGCTCGGCGCTTTGCAGCACTCAATGTGGTGTACCCGAACACTGTTATTAACTGCCAACTTCTCGAGGGCTTCACACCCACCTCCCTCCTCAGCTCTGATAGCAGGTTTTCCACAACACCTCCACCCTTCTCTGCCCTCTCTTTCCCTCAAATGATGTCATCGGTTTCCACATTCCCTCCATTCGTGCCAACATCCTCTTCCAAAGGTTCCTCCAACAAGCCAATAGCACAAGTGTCTTTCCAGGTGGTGCTAACCATTGTGCCCTTTACCATACCGAAACAGGTCAACTTCTCTCCCATATTCCCTTTTGTCCGCGTTCCCGTCTGCACACTCTTCGGGTTCCCCGACCTCCCACCGCCAGGTTGCGTCTCCTCTGTCCTCCACCCCCCCTCCTCTACCTCCTACTAACCCACCCCTCCACCCTCTCTGCCCCCCTGACTTTAATTGTTCCTATCTCTCCCTCTCCCACCCTACCATCCTCCTCCATCATAGGCTAGGTTACCCTAACTTCGCTAATCCGTGCTCCTCTGTCTTTAGTCTCCTCCACAGTCTCCCCTCCTCCCTCCCTCCCCTCGCCAAAATCCTTGCCCCTCCCTGCACCGTCTGCATTCAAAGCAAGCTCAAGCGGCAGCCGCACTGAAGCTCCCCCTCGCTGCTACTTAGCCACTTGATCTTGTTCACATGGACCTCCGGGGTCCTATCCCTCTCCCACTCGCAAGAGTCATTGTTACCTTCTCGTGCTTGTTTATGATCAGTGATAGTACTCGTCCATCTCTCTCCTTCGGACGAAGGCGGACAGCCCAGTTGCGATCATCGTCTGGCTCGAGCGGGCAAACACTTATTTTGGGCGCCTTATTCTCCGTCTTCACTCTATTGTCGGTCTCAAGACTTTCATCAGACTTACACCCTACAACAAAACGGTGTGGCTGAGAGTCGTGTTCGGGAGATCACCAAAATAGCCCGGTGTCTTCTTGTCCACGCCTCTTGTCCCCTTTTTTCTGTGGGGCTACGCATTCCTTCTTGTGTCTTCTTCTCCCTTACACCACCCCCACTGAGCTGTGGACAAGCCTGATGTCTCATTGAGATGTGGACAAGCTGGATGTCTCATCTCCTTGTGTTTGGGGCTCAAAGGCATGTATCCTTATTCACCCCTCTGGCCGCTCTCATTTCATGGGAAAGCTTGCCCCTCGTACCCTTTCTAGCATCTTTTTTGGTCATAACCCCTCCTCACTTAACAACCTTTTCCTCCATCCCCCCTCAGATCGTCTAGTTCGTAGTATGGAAATGGTCTTTGAAGAGGTCACTATCTACTATCCCTCTCCCCCATCCACTGATCTCACTTCTCCTATGTCGCCCTCTACGTCTTGATTCCAACATTCTAGCCTTATGCATGTTGGAAAGTTTTCTTGCAATTTTATATTTTGTACAGCATAGATAGGCTAGATTAAGTTATGTAGCACACTAATATATTGGAGGGTTGTTAGATGTACCCTCCAACCACATTTTGTGGTTGGTCGGAATTGGTCTTTAGAGCATATTTGTGCTTGTTTGGGCCATAAGCAAGCTCGCCCATTGGCCAACCTATTGGCCAAAAAAGTAGCTCCCCTATCATCTCTTTCTTGCCCATTACTTGTTTTAAAACCGGGATGCACATTCACCTGGGTGGGCATCAGGGGTTATCCCTTGATCCCACATTACGACCAAATTTGTCATAAACCCCCGAATTTACTGTCCCCATCTTGAATGTGCACCCCGGTTTTAAAGAGCCTCTTGGCTCATTATTCAATGTATCGGCTCCCTCTTCCAACAGTTTGATGATCCTTTGATGGCCGCTTGGAAGTTCGTCGCACGTGTCAATCATGTCGCAACTTCTGTACAGATGGCAAACGATGCGGAATGGGTGGGCCAGAGCTGGTCGACAACGGTGAAGGATGCACCCCCCTCCGAGGCGCGTATGTTGGATGTAGATGCACCAGTTGCGACAACAACTTTGCATGAGTACGCCAAAGATTCTCGCATGTCGTGGTTGCTATGAAGCACACTGGTACCTTAAACATCTCGGAACTTCATTATGAAGATAATATGGTGTGGGCACATGCTGAGCTCAACGTGCACCTGCCTTCAATTTTCGTGGCTACCTCACCATGGATCTTCCGTTTGTGTGTGTGTGTGTGTGTGTGTGTGTGTGTGTGTGTGTGTGTGTGTGTGTGTGTGTGTGTGTGTGTGTGTGTGTGTGTGTGTGTGTGTGTGTGTGTGTGTGTGTGTGTGTGTGTGTGTGTGTGTGTGTGTGTGTGTGTGTGTGTGTGTGTGTGTGTGTGTGTGTGTGTGTGTGTGTGTGTGTGTGTGTGTGTGTGTGTGTGTGTGTGTGTGTGTGTGTGTGTGTGTGTGTGTGTGTGTGTGTGTGTGTGTGTGTGTGTGTGTTTGTTTGTTTGTGTGTGTGTGTGTGGGGGGTGCGTGCGTGCGTGCGTGTGTGTGTGTGTGTGCGTGTGTGTGCGTGTGTGTGTGTGTGTGTGTGTGTGTATGTGTGTATGTGTGTATGTGTGTATGTGTGTTTTTTTTTTTTTTTTTTTTACCTGAAGTTCAAAGGAGTTCAGATTTACCCTGCTTCGTCTGGAGCGAGACTACAAAACAAGGAGGTTTCTGTCAAACATTGTATGTTTATATTGTGTAGGCTATAGTGGGTTTAGCCTTAGAGGGTACACAAACTTAGGGTTTCATACTTGTACCCACCTTCCTGCTAGTTCATCCATTCTCGTTCTATTCTAGATTCTGACATGGTATCACGAGCCTAGGTTGCTACCTAGGACCGCTTTCTACAATGGGCCCACTATTCCGCTAGACGCGCCCTCGTGCGCCCTACCTTACGTGCGCCCTCGTGCGCCCTACCTTACGTGCGCCCTCGTGCGCTCTACCTTACGTGCGCCCTCGTGCGCCCTCGTGCGCCCTCGTGCACCTTTCTCTGCTAGTGCGCCTTCGTGCGCCCTCGTGCGCCCTCGTGCGCCCTCGTGCGCCCTCGTACGCCCTCGTGCGCCCTCGTGCGCTCTCGAGCTGCCCCTGCAGGTCCGTCAGGCCCGAGAGCCGCCCCTGCACACCCGTCAGGCCCGCGCGCAGCCTCTGCACGACCGCGCGCCGCCCCTGCAGGCTCTCGCCGCCCGCCGCGTCGCCCTGCCCGTGGCGTCGCCGCCTCCCCGCGGCGTCGTCGCCTGCCCGCGGCGTCGTCGCCTGCCCGCGGCGTCGTCGCCTGCCCGCGGCGTCGTCGCCTGCCCGCGGCGTCGTCGCCTGCCCGCGGCGTCGTCGCCTGCCCGCGGCGTCGTCGCCTGCCCGCGGCGTCGTCGCCTGCCCGCGGCGTCGTCGCCTGCCCGCGGCGTCGCCGCCTGCCCGCGGCGTCGTCGCCTGCCCGCGGCGTCGTCGCCTGCCCGCGGCGTCGTCCCCTGCCCGCGGCGTCGGCGCCTGCCCGCGGCGTCGTCGCCTGCCCGCGGCGTCGTCGCCTACCCGCGGCGTCGCCACCTGCTAGCGGCGTCGCCCTACTCGCGGCGTCGCCACCTGCCCGCCGCGTCGCCCTGCCCGCGGCGTCGCCACCTGCCCGCCGCGTCGCCCTGCCCGCGGCGTCGCCACCTGCCCGCCGCGTCGCCCTGACCTAATCCGCCTCTCGCCCCTGGAGCATCCGCCACTGCAGCAGCAGCCCCTGGAGCAGCCGCCACTGCAGTAGCAGCCCCTGGAGCCGCCCGCCACTGCAGCAGCAGCCCCTGGAGCCGCTCGCCACTGCAGCAGCCGCCCCTGGAGCCGCCCGCCACTGCAGCAGCCCCCTCTGGAGCAGCACGCACCTGCAGCAGCCGCCCCTGGAGCAGCCCGCCCCTGCAGCAGCCGCCCCTGGAGCAGCCCGCACCTGCAGCAGCCGCACCTGGACCCTGGAGCAACCACCGCTGCAGCAGCCGCCCCTGGCCCCTGGAGCAGCTGCCACTGCAGCAGCCGCCCCTGGCACCTGGAGCAGCTGCCGTCGCGGCCCGGCCTCGCCCTGCAGCAGCTGCCGCGGAGCTCCCTGCTGCGGCCCGGCCCAGCCCTGCAGTTGTAGCGGCCCCACTGTCGCCACCGTCTTGCGCCTGCCGCGCCGACCACTGGTGAGCATTGCCCAGCACTGCTACTACTGCTACTGCTGCTACTGCCTTTTCTACTCCCACTGCCACTGCTCCTGCTGTTACTGCTGTTACTGCCGCTACTGCTACTACTGCTGCTCCTGACGTGGCCAGATGCAGCTCCAGGGCCGTGCGCGTGAGTCCCTCACGCCCCAGCAGCTTCGTGCGCGTGAGTGGTACGCTAGTTGGGGCTGTCGGGGTGGCCGTAGTGGTAGTCGCTCTGGAGTGGGTCGGTCGGGAGCTTCTGGTAGTGGACAGGTGCAGCTGCCGTGTCCTCCTTCGCCCCAGCTGCTTCGTGCGCGTGAGTGGTACGCTAGTTTGGGCTGTCGGGGTGGCCGTAGTGGTAGTCGCTCTGGAGTGGGTCGGTCGGGAGCTTCTGGTAGTGGACAGGTGCAGCTGCCGTGTCCTCCTTCGCCCCAGCTGCTTCGTGCGCTTCAGTGGTACGCTAGTTTGGGCTGTCGGAGTGGCCGTAGTGGTAGTCGCTCTGA